AACTCCACGGTGTCATTTATCCCCCCTGAGCGACTTCACCTGACACCATGTCAACATGTTCTAAAGCTGCAACTCTGTGAAGCGACAGGGGCAAAAAACAAAAAAAACACGACAAGAGACCTTGTTTTTAACATCTCTGTCAATCCATCAAAGCTTCTGCAACACTGATCCACTCAGCGGAGCGTGCGCCAGATTACGGGTTTCTCGAAGAAAAGAAAACCACCCTTCACCTCACTTGACCACAAAAACTGTGTCCTCCCAATTGGAAACAATCATCCCCACACACGCGCCCTCCGCTGTGCGCAATTTACCACATGCGCTGCATTCAAATTTCCTGTTTCTGCTGCATGAAAATGGCAACTTGGTGCGATTGATGAGCGCCGGGGTTCACAACGTGGGCAGTGGCCTGGTTTAATCTTGGCGTGTGACTGATGGCCAATGTCGTTTATTCGGCAGGCATCGCGACTGTGTGTGTGTGGGGGGGAAGTGGGTCAAAAGAAGAACTTATAAGGGAGGGTTGCATCAGGACATTTTGAAGTTTGAAGGTTTTTCTCCTTTTTTTTTTTTGGCTGTCTTTTCCGTGACGCATCAGTTAATGCCGGCACAGTAACTAGAGTAACATTATATCAGGGGGAGAGAAATTTACCTCCAGGTGTGAGAAGTTAACACCTAATCCTGCAACGGAGGAATTCCTGATGAGGACATGTTTATATGGATGAGGTTCCGCCGCCACATTTTATGTCACTGTGAAAACGCGGCAGCAGATGGCGATGAAACTCGCACGCCCGGGTCCTCAACGTCTCGTTAAGGAAGCCACGCGTGATCCGGTGTGGCGCCGGACATTTTCCCTCACGACAACAAAGAAAAGGCGGGAAATTCACCGATGATTTAAAAGCGTCAGCTGCTCCTCCGTTGACGTTTTTTTTTTTTTTTTTTTTAATTACACCCAGGTAGTTTTGAAGTAGTAAAAACATATTTGACACGCAAACATGTCAAATATGCAAACTAACTTTCAAGATAATGACCACATTTACATGCACACAATAAAGCACATCACTTGGAGAGGATTGGGGGGGATGAGAGGGCTGGTTAAGGTAACAAATCAAATGTTGCATTTATATGCACAGCTGTGTTCTCATTACTGTCAAACTCCTCATGCCTGAGCCATATTTCCCACCCCCCTAACTAAGAGTGGGGATTTTTTTAATGTTTTTTTTTTTTTTCCCTGTGAAATATGGCTCCACAGCTTGAAGAAATTTGGTTGGAACATTCCCACCGACAGAAACGGATCCCGCAGCAGCGCATGTCGCTCCCAGAGCGACTGCAAGCACAGCAGATAGGGAGGATTTAATCAGATCTCCACGAAACTGAAAACACGGCTTTACTCCATAAAGGAAGGGAAAAAAAACTATCAGTTTTGACCTCAATGGGAGGCAAGATTGGATTGTTAAAAACACACACACACAATGGAGAGATCACATAGAGGAAAAACACAAGAGAATAAAAATGTAGCAGTACTTAAGAGTAACTATTTATCACAGTTTTATGGGCCATTATTATGGAATTGATCAGTTTTTCTGCTGCAACTGAGACGGATATTTACAGACGAGGTTTAAAAAGAAGAAGTAAACACTCAATTCTTTTTTTATTTGTAAATCAGGCAAACTCTTTTGTGTTTTTAGTCTGAAAGATTATTTGGAATTGTTTCATGTTTGAATAATGTACGACTGTATCAAGGCCAATGTACTCAGGGAAAAATAAAAGGAGCAAATTATTTCAGCCTTTTTTTTGTTCTTTACATTTTTACCCCAGTTCGGATAGTTTTTCAGATTACTCTAAGACATTTTATACAAAAAAACAATAATTTTTCTGAACTTGAACCGCTGAAGTTGGCACTTCTAATGGACTTTTAAAGCAACTTATAGAGCAACTTGGCATTAAAAGTGTTATTATTTATCAAATGACACTTCATGACAGCAATCATAAACATTCATAAAGTCTCCTTTATGTTCATGACAGGCGTTATGTCATGTTTATTACAGAGTCATGTCAGTCTTATGCACACGCCCCGTCAAATAAAGCGTTGCCTCTTTATTTGGTGTGAGAAGTTGAGCGTTCTTGGGAGCCCCCTGCTGGTCTGGAGGCCACAACCCACGGCTCGTTGTGCTTGTACCTCGGTCTGGCTCTCCTTACGAAATATATCACCAGGGTGGCATTTTATGTAAGGAGGCATAACTCAAAATTTTACAGTCAGAATCAGTAACTATGTATTTCTGTCTAATATAGAAGCCCAAACTGTGGCAGCAAAGTGGAAATGTGAAAGTACGTGCATCATAAATCCAAGAGATTCCAGAAATATAAGTCCGCAGGCTGATGATGTCTTCCATCAACTCCTGCTTCCTCCCAGTTTTTTTTTTAGGCCAAGTCTAGAGTGTTCAAATCATAACTTACTGAACATCAAAGGGAAATGTAATGAGATGTATGGAGATGTTTTTTTTTTTTTTTTTTTTTTTTTTTGCCTCCGTCGCACACTGAGACGTAAAAACCCGTGTCAATTGGAAATATTTTTGGAGCTTTCTTTGTGAAATCTTCTCCCCTCTCCAGTTAAAACGAACGCCCAAGTTTATTTCATGTGGCGTTATGAGATCCGCCTGATAACGGAACGACACCAGCGTTCGCCAATCCAAGTCCAATCTAAACGAGCGGCGAGGAGTTTCATGAAACGGATTTTTAGGGAGAAGGGCGCCGGCAGGCGGCGTTCACAGCCTCATCAGAATTTTAGCAGCAGACTCAGACTGCTGCTCTCTGAAATCACACCAGGCTACGTTAAGCGCTTGCGAGTGTGGCGATTTTGGCTGAGAGCTGTGCGGCAAATTCAATCAATGGCAACCTGTGGAGAGAGAGACTTTACACGTCCTCTGACTCTGTCTGCGGGAAGGGAAGCTAAACAGTGTAGAGATGAAGAAATCCTGCAAGAGCACTGCTGCTTAGACGTCTGGGTGACTGGAAATAGGCAAACGGAAGAGAACTTGCCGTTCTTCCAAATACTCAATAAGGAGCAGAGTGTCGTGAAAACACAGGACATGAAAAAAAAATATGTTGAAGATTGAAAAAAAGATTAAAAATAGAATCACGTGCTTAAATCAGGGATGCAAAGGAGGAGGAGCAGGAGAGCTGCACATGAACGGCCTCACAGCAGCTACGATTCCCTCCAAATGGCACGCACAACAGGAACAGGAAGTAGAACTTGCAAACTAGCAAATTCCACTTCCTGTTTACGTGAAATGCGTCTCTCGAGTAATGAAGGAGACACTAATTAATCTTCGAGAACTTTCTTCTGAATGAGGGAAACTGAAAACGGTGGTGATAAGTGAGATCCTGCCCACAGCGCCAATACTCCACGAATGGTGCGAGGTGTTTGTGCACACACACACACACACACACACACACACACACACACACACACACACACACACACACACACACACACACATATATATATATGTATATATGTATAAAAATAGATTTTTTTTAAAGTAACAATAACTTGGTTGGATAAATGTTCACAGTCTTAGACTTATATTCTTCCTCTGATTCACTTTTCATTTTCAGTCTTCTTGAGTTCACACCTGCACTCAGTTACAGTGAATCTAATTAACCTGAAATAAGCTTTTGCTGTTACAGCCGGATTTTTAATTTTTTTTTCATCTTCACATAATTGAAAAAAATAAACAATCCCCCAAATTGGACGAAATAGCTGCATGGATTTGGAGGGCATTAATTACTCCGGCATCTATCGTTTTAAGAAAAATATTTAAAGGGTCAAAGCGTTGAAACAATTAGCAATTCATTTTTTTTAAAAAAACTCATTTAAAAGTAATGAGACAAAGCCATGCAATAAATCATAATTTGTCAGGCCTAATTCAAGCAAGTCATTTCAGGGAGTTTAAACACTTTTTCATCAACACACAAATCATCTCCTGCTGAAATCGACATATATATATATACTCATATGTATTCAGATTATACATATATATAATCTGCACATGGCTGCATTGTGATTGCACGTCACTCTTCAAAATCTTCCCCCCTCCCTCACCTTCACTGTAGTTTTCAGTTGCTGGTGTCACGTTGCCGCTGACTAAGGTGTGACCAATCGGACGTGATGAAGAGCAGCGATCTTGTCATTGGGTCGCTGCAGCTTGGCGAAGGTCTGGAGCGGTTCGGCTCAGAGTCGCTGCCCCGTGTCATTCCACATTTTCAACACGCGGTCGTTTTCTCGTGGCACTTTTTCCTGACGGCGGACGCCTGAACGCTCTCGTTTGCAACTTTCTGTCCTTGATTAGGTTTTGCTCCCAAATAATCCATTTTAATCTAAATCTGTTGTTTTTAATGTCAGATCTGTGTCTGCGTCTCACAATTCAGGGTGATCCCACTCTGTGTGTGTGCGTGTGTGTGGGGCAGTGGAGGTAATTTATCTCCATGGTCTTTTTGACCTTTACAGATTTGTTTATTCACTGGAAACATATAACAACCTTCCTTCCCGGTGATGTTCTTCTTCTGGAAACAGACGTTTAAACAATACATAACAGCTTAACTTCATGATTTTCTTAACAGATTACTGTGGAATTTTCAAATCATAATTCATTCTTGCTTGTAGTTTTTCCGAGTATCCAAAAAAAGAAACGTTTTGCAAAAGTTTGTGATCAGTTTTTTTTCCCTGACTTACATGTGTACAGTGACAGACAATACTAAACAATTATCTCAAAAAAATAACATTTTATGAGATAATTTAACAAAAAGATATATTTTATCTACGTAAAAATGATCATTATGTTATGACAGTGTAATATCAGACAAATAAAGTCTGAAAACAAAAAAATCAAGCTTCTCTTCTGCCTTCTCCCATTGCTCCCAGTAATAGGTGCAGAAAACCACTATATCAGAAACGACCAATCAGAGCCAGGAGAAGCTCTGATTGGGTCTTACCTCTGTGCTCACATTCTCCTGCTTGCTCTTTGCTAAGCTACAGCTGGTTCGCCACAACACAGCCTGAGACCAAAGCTAATGCTCGTTAGCATAGCTACCGACGACGGCGGATAAACGGTTTTCCCGTAACTGTAAGTTGTTTTTTCCAGCATTAGCACACTGAGCAGGATACAGGCGAATGATTGGCAGCGCTAAGATCCTCCTCCGGGCTCTGATTGGTTGTTTTTGATTGGCATTTTTGCAGGCTGCAATATTAGCGCTGGAAGGAGCTCAATTTTTGGTTTTCACAGATTATCCGTCTCATACCGTGCTGTCACAGCATGGTGACGGTTTTAATGAATATGGAAAAAACCTGTCTTTGTACTTCAGCTTTCAGATTTATATACAAATATTTGAAATCATATATGAATAATTTTCACATCTTTTCCATCGTCTTAAGCCAATTAGCCAGCAGGATGATTAAAAGTAGCTAAAACAACAAAAAAATAACCTTGGAATGATTTAAAAATTGAAATGTTTGCTTTGGTTCCTAAGTAACAGTGCACTTGATGACGTGCATTTTCCTTCCAGAACGTGATGTCACAGTGCTTTCCCTGCAAGATTTGTAACTGAACATTAGCTTCGAGCTAATATTTAGTCTTCCACTGAGAAGACTCAGGAACTCAGGCCTCTGTGCACTGATCATGATGGAGAAAACGTTTATGGAAACCAGGGGCTACACATATAAGGCCGCCCTTGCAGAAGGATCGTTTGGTAAAGTTGTAAAAGCAGAGTCAATTCATCTGAAGAAAATAGTCGCCATAAAGGTTATTGGCCTGAACAAATACACCACCGTCAACAGAGAAAAGTTTGTCACTCAGGAAAAAGAAATTATTAGAACTTTAAAGCATCCCAACATCGTCAAAACCTATGATGTGTTTGAGTCTCGCTCAGAAATGGTAAATATGAACATTTTCTTTGCTTTGAGATAATTCTTTGGAATGACAGAACCAAAAATACTGTTGCTTGGACAGCTTCGGCTAAAGGGTTTGGCAGTGTTACTGTTATTATTATCATTGTTATTGCCACAATAACCTCATCGTACCATGCAATCTCCATCCTTTGTTTTTCATGTCAATTGGGAAAACATAGGCTAAACATAGTTGCAGCTTTAAAGTGCTAATACCTCTTCTCCATTCTCGTGCCAACATGTTGGAAGCTAGGACGGAACCCGCAAGACGACACGGGCGAGGGGATAAAAAAGAAAAAAAAGATTTTGAGAACCTGCAAAACATTTTGTGAGATCCTGTGAAATGTATAAAAAATCCAGAGTTCAGCTGTTCCACCAAATTATGCGACCAGTCACAGTCTGTGAGTGCATTTCTTGAAGACGAAAACTAGTCTGGAGCTCTGACATTATAATGATTAGGCAGAGAGGTCGAGGATTATGACGGCTATCATACAGCTAGCTATTTGATGCTTCACTACTTTCCTGTCCAGATTATGCAAACACTCTTCTTCTCACTGGTCGACAAGATGCACATTCATAGAAATGCACGCTATCGCCCCCTGCAGTCACAGAATACTGTGCATGTTGCCAGCAGAAACCAGGCAAGAACACATTATTTTAACCATTTAAACTATTTATTTACAACCAGGCCGATAAACTTTCTGCCAGCGCAGATCACCTCTCTTTTTGAACTTCTCACACGGTGATACACAGTTGTAGCGCGCCAACGACATGCTGGCTAATGTTAAGGTAAATGCCGGTAGCCATGGCAACGAGTGAGAGTTTGAAGGCTTGCCGACTCTTTCTGCAGTCAAGCTGCACGTCTGCCCGCAAATCATCCATCGATAATGAACCGAGCTGACATTGCCAAGTCGGATTTGTGTTGAATGAGTTTGCGTCTCTTCAGATGTCCCTAACTCATATGAAAACCACGACTTCTGTCAAGCACTGATTGAATGTCCAAGCTCAGGACACTCTATGGTCGTCCTGCATTGTGTCTCAGAATTGAATTGGGATCTCAAGAAACGTTCACAGGATCTCGAGCGACTTTCATGTGCTCTCCATGAAGGTTGCGAAGGATCTCATACATGGGACTTGACACCCATGTACGGAGGACTGAGGCCTTCGTACGTGGAGCACGCATCCGATCCTTTGCAAGATCAGCATCTTGTAAAGGATCAGAATCTTTTAGATGATCTCAAGAAATGTTTTTATTTTAAGGATATTTTTACTCTTGTTGTTTTCATGTCACAGTAGATTGACAAGACAGAGGGTTCAGAGGGAGGGGGGAAGACATGCAGGAAAGGTCAAACGGCCTGGACTTGATCACATGATGGCTGCATGGAGCCCCCTTGCAGGCTCTGTTTGTGAGTCATGCGCTCTGCCACCGCTGTACCCCGATCTCGGGAAACTCTCACGATATCTTGAGATACCTTCACAACATCTCAACAAACTTTCGAAGGATTTCAACAAACTTTCACGGGATCTCTGTAAAATTTAAGTCATCAGACATGATTGAAAAAGCAGTCATTCTTTTCTCATAACCTGTCCAGTGAATGCAAATCCCCTCTCTGTCTGTCTCTCTGTCTGTCTGTCTGCTGTGGAAAGTGCTGCAATGTCTGACTGGTGAAATGATTCCTTTAGGTCTACGTGGTGATGGAGCTTTGCCCACAAGGAGACGTCGCTAAGCTCATTTCAACCAGAGGGCCTCTGGATGAATGTTTCAGCTGCCGACTTTTCAAGCAGCTGTGTCTGGCCATTGAGTATCTTCACGGAATTGACATTGCTCACAAAGATATCAAGTGTGAAAACCTTCTTTTGGACATGCACTATAACCTCAAACTGTGTGACTTTGGCTTCAGCGAGAAGGTCACTTACAACCAGGGCAAATTGGTGCTGAGTGACACCCACTGCGGCACCTTGCAATACGCGGCACCGGAGATCCTGAAGAACCTCCCGCACAACTCAAAGATCTCTGACGTGTGGAGCATGGGCGTCGTGTTGTACAAGATGCTCTGCGGGTCGCTTCCTTTCACCACCACCAACACGACAAAACTAGTGCAGCTTCAACTGAAGCATAACATCAAGTTCCCGACCGACCCGTCCATTTCAAGTCTGGCGAAAGAGCTGATTCACAGTATTCTGCACCCGGTGGTGGACCATCGGATCACAGTGAGCAGGATGCTAGAGAGTCCGTGGATGGTAAAGGCGATGGAGGAAGACAGTGACGAGGGGACAACGGCGAGTCAGATGGCGAGTCAGACAGCGAGCCAGACGGCGAGTCAGTCGGCGAGCCAGACGGCGAGTCGGACGCCGAGTCAGACGGCGCCTGCAAGTGAAATCAAAGAGGATTAGCTAACAATAAATAACTCGGACGCATTGAAAGGACTTTCCACTGCCGTCCCATGAGAACCCCCCAATTTCAGGATTGTTCAGCATTGAATAAATGTGAACCTTCTTCATTGGACTGGATGGTGGTTTGGTTTTTACGTGCGGTGGAGTGAAGCAAGAAATTTGCTCCATCCTGGCTTCTTTTGTTTTCTGTTTGTTGTTGTAAAATAAATAAACTTTCTTTTATTATTTTTAAAATAAAATGAACTTGTGAAAATACTCTGGCTGTCATCTCCTAAAAAAAATAAATAAAAGGTCATTGATATTTGCCTAGGCCTCCATAAGTGGAGAAGCAGCAGCTCCCCGGTGCCGGAGCCGCAGAGAAAACTCGTTTTATCCGCTTGTATCGCGATCTCTTTCTCTGGGTCGTGACCAGCAGGTCCGAGGGCTGCTGCGGTACCGACAGCCAAGGCAGACGCAGATTCGAAAAGCCGCCTTGGAGATGGAGGCGTGGAACACGGCCGACTCGTTCCTGATGTCCCCTGCTTTCTTTGGGAACGTGTTCGAAGTTCTCCCGGAAGTGGGAGTTACAGCTCACAAGATGTTCCCTGCAGATTATATCCACACAGAGGAAACGCAGGGGGACTTTATTGTCAATAACCTTCTAAATCCAACGTGAGCCAGAAAAAGAGAGACAAAGGAACTTCTGATTGACGCCACTCAAGGAAGACTAATAAATTCTCCAGCGACGCTCTGAATGTGACGAATCCATCGAGTGAACCCTCCGCCCCCGCTCACCCACCCGGCCCCCGTGTGCATCAAAGCCACTTCAACCAACTGCATTATAATAATGATATTATTGCACAGTCAGATGCATCAACTAATTGTCAGATTCCAGCGTTCGAACATATGGCTCCGTGAACTGTGGCATGGCTGAGCGACCGACGCCGTAAAAACTCACAATCCGGTAATTAATGCCGATCCCGAAACGTTAATCAAACCATAAGCGCGTACATCTTACCTCTGAGAGCACAAATCACCTGAAGCGCTGACTCCTATAGTCATTATAACTGCACGGGTTGCTGCGTTTATGATCTGTTTGCGCACCAAGATTGCAAATTGCAGGGGCTCAAACAAAACCGCGTGTTTTACCATCCTTTTAGTCTAATTGTGGCTTTTGGAGAAAATGCACTTAGTGTCGCCCTCACACCTAATGTGTTTGGAAAGTGCATTGGAATAAAACCCGCCGCCTTATGAGATGGGGTGTAATAGCGCCGTTGGCTTTATTAGCAAAACTGACACACACACACACACCACACACACACACACACACACACACGCACACACACACACACACACACAGAAACGCACACACACACACACAGAAACGCACACACACACACGCACACACACGCACACCCACACACACACACACACACACACACACACACGCACACACACACACACACACACAGATGACATTTATGTCAGGAAGGATTCTCTTATCAGTTTTTTCCATCGTCTCCTCCTTCACAGCGCTGCGTGCGGTTTTGGACGGCCGCCACCGGCGACCCTGAACAAAGCTGGGATTTCTAATATATATATATATATATATATATATATATATATATATATATATATATATATATATATATATATATATATATATAAACACTTCAGCTCACATGAATAAGTTACAGCTGTTTATTTCCTGAGCCTTCAGGCTGTTCCGTAATGAACCGTGGAGGACAGTCTGGACGTCTGCTTACGTGGCAAATAAACATTTATTTGGGTCGTGGGGAAAAGAAACACGACGTCGTTTGCAGAGAAAAGAGCCATTTAGCCTTCAGGGGTTCAAACCACAAACAAATTGCATGTTGGAAATGTATCCGCTTGACCTTTTGTGTTCCGGTTTTACGGACACGTAATTAACGTACGGGCGAAATTTGGTGCTTTATAATTAGTACAAAAACCAGTGGGGAAAAATAACAAGTTTTATTTATTAGAATGACTGAGGACAGAAGTGTTGTTGTTTTTTCTTCTGCTTTCCAGCGACATCCCATTCATGTGCAAATCAGTTTTATTATCAATGCCGACTGAAGTAATTGAAATAGCTGCATGTTAGGAGGCGCAGCGCTCTGAGCCAGGAGGAAGACGCAGAGACGAGATCCTCTGCAGAGTTTGCCTTCAAAAGCCACCTGGAGCTGATATGACTGTGTGGAGGCCGACGGCGCCGCAGCATCCTGTCAGATTCCCAGATTAAAACCCTTAAAGGGGCAAAAGCTGTGTTCTCTGGGCACATAGTCCCATTTTGTAAATTAACCAAGTGACTATTATATTCAGTTGTAAATATATATATATATATATATATATATATATATATATATGTATATATATATATATATATATATATATATATATGTGTAAATCAAAAATGACTTAAGTGAAGTTGGACTTAATAATTTATCGCCTTGAAATTAAATTCTCTTTAAAAACAGAAGCAGCTCCTGTAATGAGCTCAGCCGATGCGCAGTTCCACCAGGTGTCTGCTAATTGCTGCTGGCTAGTCTGAAGGAGCCAAATGGGTTATTCGTAGGAGAGGGCGGATTAAAGGATTTCTCAAACATGCACGAAAGAATCAAAGTAACATCAGAGGTATGTTTTTGATGAGGGAATGATTTTGTAATGTTGTGTAAAGCTACAAAAAGAGCAAATTTTACACAATTGTACCACTTTGGAAATCTTTCTTTTCTTCTGTATGAACTTAATATTCAACAGTTCCTCATCCCTCACATTCTAACCAACCTGGATTCATTTCAGATTAAGCTCTAAGCAGCTTAATTTGAAATGTCCCTTTGATTTAAAGTCGAATTGTTGACCTGCAGGCATGTGGTTGCAGGACATTTGTCACATAGACCTTGACCTAGACACACTTAGCCAAAGCTCCTTGAATCTCTTCCTGCTATAGAGAATGTCTTGGTGTCGTCAACATGATGAACCTCTATTTCTCCAAGATCCCTTCCATCGATGCTACGCTTTCTGCAGATAACCACATCATCTGCAAACATAGACTGTAGTGATCTGATCAGGGTACAAGAGGACCAATATGGATGAGCTGAACCCCGTCCTACCGTGTGGCTGAGGTCACACTGGCGATTTGGGCCTTCTTGGTTGCCGTACCCGGGTACCTTGGAATCACTTGAATGGCTCAGCAACTTTTCATCCCTGTACACCAAAGTATTGTTGAGTCAAAGGCCGTTTGTTTGGCACCTGAAAGGTGACAGAAATGCAGACGGCATTCAGGGATCTACGTGGCTGTGTATTTCTGCGAGCCTCATTACCCTGAAACCGTGCAGTGGAGGACAGAGGGCCACAATTCCTCTGCAGTAATTTGAGCCGGATATAAAAAGTCAAGCTGGAAAAAAAAAAAAAAATAATTCTTCACTTTTAAGCTTCTGCCACTAAATGCAGTTCTACGACCCACTGAATTATAGATGTTCTCGTTTTTTCTCACAAATGTCAAAATCTATTGAAATATATGCCTAAAAACGCTTTAAAACATGCAGCAAATCAAGCAATCTTACATGTGAAGGTAAAGTTGTCGACCGTAAAAAACGATCTTGGAAGAGAAATGGAAGCAGGATTGCCTCGGGGGTAACAGAAGATGTATAGAACTACAGGAAGTTTAACACTGGACTGAAAATGTAACTATTTCACACTTTGTAGCAATAAATGCAGCAAGTTTTTCTATTTGGGAAGCCAAATTCTTAACAAAGAAGCTGTTCACTGCCTGCCACTTGAACTATAGGACATTACATGCTGCTCCCGTGTTGCGCACACTGGCATTTTTAAAGCCTGTTTTTTTTTCATGGCTCTAAATGTAATAATATTAAGGTAGTTTTGTAGGACATCAGGTACAGTGATGGCCGCTGTCGATGTGCTGCTATGTGTAGAGTGTGTTTACTGTGATCAGTGTGTTGAAAGTCACGGCGTTCTGCTGCGCTGTGACGAGGGTATGTCACTTTTTTGTCTCATTTGACCTTTTCTCACAACTGTAAATGTACATTCTATTGTCCCAACAGGGCTTCCATATGCTCACATCATTATCAGGGAAATTAGTCGAGGGCCGCAAGTTTCTACTTCTATTAGAAAGTACCAGCCTCCCCAACTGAGCAATCTGTTTGCAAAGTAATGGCTTTAGATTCGTTAATGTAATCACAGGGTCATTTCTGTAATGTCAAAATTGTGCTAATGCTGTTGCAGCAGAGCTTTACTATGAAGGCTACATGAGAACCGCAAAACTCAGGTGGCAGAAGTTTTCAAGAATTTCTTCACCAGGCTAGGAGTTGTGTATTGTGGGTTATTTTCTTATGGATTTATGTCTCTTAAAGGCTTTAAAACAAAAGGTCGGCACACGATAATGTGACAAGTTCAATTCTCCGGGTTCCTTGCTGCTGGTAATATTTAAGTTTGTCAAAGTAGCACTATGAAGAGAAATTGACTTTTTTTTTTTTTGCTTTTACATCTCATTATAATATTATTGCTTCGTCAAAAACACACCTGGAGTGTTGTTCTGATTCTTTCCTCTCTGTGTGTGAGAAATCATTTCATCTCCCATGGCGACCATTCAGCTGTTCCTGGTTGGATCCAGACAAAGCTCCTCCTTGGAGTTGCAGTTTCCAAGCCTCCATCTCACAGGGCAGCCCTCCCCTGAAGGAGCCGAGCGACTCCCTCGCTCGGCTCCTTCAGACTAGCTGGCAGCAATTAGCAAACACCTGGTGGAGCTGTTCATCTGCTGAGCTCATCATAGGAGCTGCTACTTAGAGCAACGCTGGGAAAAATGTTGTTAAAGGGTTAAAAGAGGAGCAGTGCGATAACTTCCTGAAAGCAGAGTTTCAGAAAGGGCAGGAGCTTCTTAAAGAGACAGAAATCCAATTTCAAGGTGTTTCTTTCTTTTAAGTCATTTTCGACATGTATAGCATTTTTATAACAACTGAAAATAACAGTTATTTATTGTACTATAAAATGTCACAATATGCTTGGAAAAACACATAATACTGAAGTGAACTTGCCTTCTTTTTGACAGCCCACTAGCAGTTTGCAGCAGCAGTTTGGAGAAAAGCAGCTCCGCACTGCTGTACCTGCACGTCATTCCGACTTCAATCAGTCAGCATGAATCGCTGGATAATGTGCGTCAGCTGCTAAACTTTGTGAAACCTTGGCACACCCTCATACCGGTAACT